TCTCATTTGCATTTTGTCAAACATAGAAATATGATTCTTCAAGGGTTCTTTAGTAAAGGCATTGGTTCTATTTAGAACCCTGAGTGCTGTACAGAACCAGTATCATCAGTAACCAGTGATGAATGGGGAAGAAGGGAGCTGATAAAGTAGCAGATGGGCTACAGTCTGTAAGTGTACACGTACTATATAGGCGTTAATTGTATGTCTACCTTTTAAAATGATCAGGTTTAAGTATAATGTAGCTAGATTTAATCAACTGATCACTCGATGTTGAGTCATGGTGTAATGCAGTGATTTTGCTGTGGAAAACTGATCACAGCTAATTAGAAAAATAATGTAACTCCAACACCAAGAGTGGCAGAAAAATACAATACTTTATTGAAGAGGGAGGCTTCACAAACACAAACATTAATTTGAATTGTCTTCAGAATCAGCTGAAGTGCATCTGAAATTCAGTCCTTTACACAGTTCTGGGGTGAGGAGGAGCCCTCACCTGCATCCTTATTAACCCCTCCCTATTACATCATTTCACCTGATTTGACTGCCGTTATTTATCAGTCACGTGTCATTCAGGCTTCATTGAATACCATTATATTTGAACCAAAACACACATACACTGTTTCTTTTAGTGACCCTGACCATTTCATTAAATGTGCCTCAACTCTAAATCTAAAAATACCAATATACTGACAGACTCGGATAGGTTCACAGGTTAAGCTGTCAGAAAGGCTCCTCACTCTTACCTGGACTGCGCATTGTAGATGGCCTATAGCTGAATGATTACATTTTTGTGGATAGTCAGAATTGCATGGTGTTAAATGCTCACATAAAGCCACCATTTTGCCCAACGAATAGAAAAATCCTATCAGTATTCAAAATTAAACACTGATCAAACCTGAGTTCAGTTTCTCACGTAGTACAGTCATGAATTGAATGAATGAATGAATTCAGAACCATCAGCCAACTGTGTTTGCACTCTGTGGAATTAGACCTCCGCATTTAACCCATCCGTGCAGTGAAACACCCACATACATGCACACTAGTGAACACACACACTAGGGGGCAGTGAGCACACTAAGCTCCAGCCCACGACTGCCCCATCATTACACGAGTGAAGTGTGCGTTGAGACAACAGACATGTTCACTTTAAAGAAACTGTTTTTGGCAGTTCAACCTAGAAAGTAGCTTAGCATAAGCATTTTGATAGAAACAAAGCAAAGTAAAACAAATGAGCAAAAGTATTTATCAGTCCAAATCACACAAACACTAAGGGCGTTCTCACTTGCTGCATGTGTTTTTACAGTATATAGGCTAGAAGTTTACGTAACTCCTACAGGCTCTTCCCATCTTTCCTTCCAGTGATGTTCTTTGGTAGATGTAAGCATGTGCTGTATGCAAGCAGACATTTTTCACTTTCCAGATTAATATCCTTAAAGGTTTATTATCTTAAAAGGACAATGGGAGATGAGTGTGCGGTACCTCTTGTTGAAATTATCTACAAAATAAAGTTTGAAAAGAGTCTGTATGTTAAGTGGTGCAAACTGTATGAAATGTGAACATTAAATAGAGAAAGAATACACAGGATAATAAATAGGGATGACTACTTTGTACAGATCTGTGCAAAACCTGTAAATGTTTACGCTGCTAACTTTGTACAGATTTGCAAAGGAAACTGTAGACAACCATGTTGTGTGTACATATAAATTAAACATGGACTAAACCAGTGATCAGCTCTCCTCTTAGATCTACATTTCACCTGCAGCGTAAAACTAACACGCCTCATTCAGCTAATCAAGGATTTCTGAAGGCAATAACTAGATGGGTCAAGTAGGATCGATTAGGGTTGGAGCTAGTCTGCAGAAAGGCAGGTCTCCAAGAAGGAGGTTGGTGATCAGTGGACTTAAGCTGAGCTTGTGAGCAGAGTTTAGTAGAGAGTCGTTTAAAATAAATACTTGAATCTGCATTGCAAATTTCTAAAACCTGGAAATGACTGAATAATTACACGTATTGATAAACACACAAGTTCAAACGGGTTCATCCTCCTGGATGTCCAGGGGACCCTTGTGTCTTCTCAGCATCTTCCATGCTGAATTGAGCAGCCTTCTTGAAGGGGGGAGTGATCAGGGTGGCAGCAGCCTGGTGAAGTTCGACCTCAGAGTTATTTCCCGATCTGAGATGGAGCCGGAGTGAAGCCTGGAAACAAACGTGATGACGCCACAGGGAGAAACCTCAACCAGTCCCTTGAATGTTGTGATTTTTATAATTTCAGAAGCTTCCAGTTTGTAGGGTGAGTGATGTTGCTGTCTCACAGCAGACCTCTGTGCAGTCAACCATACGTCCAATCAGTAAAGTTGTATATGAATATATCTGCATTTTAATACGGGAGTGTGAAAACACCTGACGAGATGGTACAACGTATGGTTTTCCATATTCATGAGGTGCTTACATGTGTCCCAATGTAATGTATATGTACTGTGATATACCCGTCTATGAAGTGATGCAGTGATCTGCCTGTGATGATACGGAGGGGTTTCATAACGTTATAGTCATGTGATCATGATGTATTAAATTACCAGTGTGTGCAGGTTTGTTCCTGTAATCCTGAAAAACACGTTTCTCATTAAATTTTATTATATATTTTACTTTTGAAATCAATGTGTGGTCTTTTCTTCATAGTGTTTAATTATTGCATCACAGACATTATGAATGAGAAACATTTAGAAATGTATGAAAAACGGTCAGACAGTAAGTCAAGTGTAATGCCTGATCCCTGATTAATGAGAGAGGAACGGGTGATGAAAGGCAGCCTGAGGAGGGTTCTGAGCACCCCGTAAGGGTGGGGTGGGGGGCTTGCTCTGCCCAGTTACTGAACAAAATGGAGACGGTTCTGTGCTTTTGTGACTGAGAATGTGGTACTGAGACACTTGCAGCTTCTTACTCTGTCTGAGAAGTCATCGATGAGCAGTGTGGGGTGTTTCTCACACCATCCTGAAGTCCACAATCATCTCTTAAGTCTTTTCTGCATTAAGAAACAGATTCTTTAGCACTGTCGCTGTGGGAACACAGCCTTGTATCTCCATTTTTGTATTTTTTCATGTCCCTGCTGAAAAATAACAATGTGTCTGTTTGCTCCTGTTGGCTTTGTAATGTGTTTTGGCATAAATACACAACATGCAGTGTATTTGGTTACTGAGTGTAAGTAAAAGGCTAAAGAACTTACCTCAGCATTATCCTAGACCGCCATGCAGTTTGCTCATCACCTCTTTCCTCTGGCTATTTCACAGCTAATCAAGAGAGGAAGGAATGAATTCCACCATAGGTGGAAAAAAATGGAAAAAAATTCTTTCGGAAAGGAAAGAAACGGTCTTTTAGAGGAAACTGGTAAATATTCATAATGCAGAACCTTAGATAAGCATATGATTAGACTTATTATCTTCTCACAAACATGCGAAGTCCAATCACACTTTCCCAGTTTGTGCACGAAGGCTTGCCTGACTTGCGGACTCAAGTAGTCACTGCCAGCTCTTTTCCTTCTCCCTTGGACAGATGTGCGCACCCATGCCGTGATCCGTGAAGGACAGATCCCGCTTCCTGTGTAACCCAGATCATCCCTTGGGACTTTCAAGATGCCTTGTTATGGTTGTTTTCGTTGTTTTTAATATTTCCTTTGTTTTTCTTTTTAAATAATTTAGAGAGTAATAAAGCTTTTTGAATCAGCCTCTGCCTCCTGTCGAGTAACTGCACTAAACCTGTTTTTCCCCCCAGTCGAGTTTGCGCTTTCATATTGGGTGTTGGGTGTGGTTGGTGGTGTAAGGGAATATTTCTTGGGGAGTTATGATTCAACATCCCAGTAGTTGGTTGTTCTTTTAAATGGTGTGCTTGGTGCTCTTAAACATATTAATCTGTTTATTCAGTACATTAAATAATGTCCCTTTCCTTCCCTCCACCGCCTACTGCGTACATACATAAAAATGATGTAAATCACATGCTAAGACCCTCACAGTGACCAGATCTCAACCAAATTAAACAGCTATGGGAGGTTTTTTACCAATGTGTCACACAACACACTCCACCACCATCATCGAAACAAAGTGCTCTACATGTATCTCAGGCAGGGATTCCAGAATTAGGCACACATATTTCTCTGTAGTGGGTGGCACAAGGTGTTGGTCCAGCAAAGGTGCTGCTGCTCTGTGTCTGTATTTTTGTTTTGGTTTCTAATGACTGAAGATAAACGCAGTCATTGCTTATGAACTTTAGAAATGTAAGCACAGGAACATGTTAATGGTTTATAGCTCGGTGTGCTCATGGCTGATTTTCCAAAACATTACGTCTTCAGCACTGAAAAGTATCTGCGTTTGGCTCTGAGGTTCCAGAGATGGAGCCACTGAAGAGCTACACTGAATAGAGCAGATGGGTGTTTATTACAAAGCCAACAGCAAAGTTCATCCCTTGTTTCAGTGCATGTGGCAGATAAGTGGCAAGTACCAGGATCAAGGATGTTTATTCTGATCTTCTGAATGAACCTCTAGTAGAGTTCTGGTTCTGTGTAGCTGTGTTAATGATCCAATCTGGAATTCAAATTAAGGAAGCTAGAGCAGGAAAAGCCTGGATTTCCTGGACACCCCAGAACTAGGATTGAGGATCATTTACTCAGTGGTGTATCAGCTGTAGCTGTTCAGACTGACATTGATGTAGTGGATTTTAGGACTTCAAACAGTTAAATTATGAAGATACACCTGATTAACATGCATATTCATGTGATGCATCAATATGCACATCCTAAAGTATCAGCAGCTTTTTCTTTTGTACTGAGAGACAGTGGTGCAGATGCTGCCCACCAAATGTACACAATGCTGCTGATAGACTGATCAGAGTGCACAAATACAAACTCATCTGATTCATAAGAACTACATTTAGAATGGTGTAAACATGAGGAACCCAGTCTCTGTAGAACCCTCATCCTATCATCCTAGGTCTTATTTAATCAGAGACATGTGGACAATTTGAAATAAGATCTTTATTTGGAAATATAAAAATAAGTGCCATAAGTCATAAAGTACTTTAAAAAGTGCAATACACAAACATTGCACTGCAATATTTAACCCTCCATATAAAAGCTTCCATATAATAAATCAAGCCCGTTCTTGCAAACCCTCTGCGTCACACGACTACAGTGCATCGATAAACACTCACTTAAGAAAACACATTAAAGGAATAGTTCAAACGATGAAACCTAAACATTTTTTCAAATCCTCAGTCAAAAACCAGGCACGGCAGAACAGATGGCCCAGTGAGGAAATACAGTTTTACAGGCAAGTGAATCAGTAGGAAGGCACTTTACAAGAACAACACGTTCATAAATGTAAGTAAATGACAGTTGATGAAATGTACAGATATCACATATTAAAGGAATGTCTGTATAGAATCACTGAACGATGAGATTTACACTCAGACATAAACAGCAATGAAGATGATCAAATCAATTAGCAATTAAAACAGTAGCAACAAAATCAATTAATCAGCAATTAAAATGTATATTCTTTCAAATTGTATGAACATTATTTTATTTTAAAAAAAAGTAACAGTTTTATTCTTGAAGAAGAATCAATGTTAGTTGAGCTCAATGTTAACTTTCCTGAGTGCAGCTTCTGACCTTACTATAAAAGCTTTAAGAAACATAATACATACATAAAACTTAATCATTCCATCTTGGGTGCAGAGCTCTTTATAACATTACAGCTGGAAATGCAGGACAGGATAAAATTAAAGACAGGTCTAAGTACACATGATGCTTTTAGGCACCATGATGTAAAAGCTGTTTAGAACTGCACAGTTCAGTACTGCAGTTTATGAGTCAGGCTTATTGAGTATCTACTGATTTAAAGCTAAAGAGAAATCCAAACACAAAAACTATCATTAAAAGCACTGAAATGCTTTGACTGGATACACTTTATCCAGAAGTGCCAAAAAGTATGAAATATACAGCTGATCTCCATGAAAACATGGTTCTCTATGGTATTTTGACTGACTAAGAAGCTGAATTGAAATGATTGCATCACAGGTCTCTAGCATTTAAACTTTCCTGACCTGCTACTGTGACACACATATGTTACGGTATGTTGAGGATTTCCCCCTGTGGGACCAATAAAGGATTATCTTGTTTGTCTACAGTCGCTCTTAACACATTTACTGGTGGTTCTGTTTAATATACTCAAACATCATTGACACTGTGGTCAGAAGAAAAGTTCTGAAATGTATGCTGAGGATTGCGTCTCAAGTGTTAAAGGCCTTGATATCGGAAATGTACAGTAAAATGCTGAAATCATTTGATTGACTCGTTGAGCTGGCTGGTCTGAGGTGTTGAAACAGCAGATTAAGTGGTAGCAGGAGCTCCATTCATGCCATTTGCTTATTTGTGTCCATTTTCTGGAAAAGGCAGAGAAGAAGAATAAGCAAATACACTGAACTACACTTACATTTTCAAAAGAAAGCCTTAAGTACTGCATTATGTTTTATAAATTGGACGACACCATTGTCAGACACCAAAAATTTTGAAATGCTAAATACAACTGGCACTAACTGGTTGACAGATTACAATTAATCTGTTTCCAATAAACCAGGCCTAAACATTTCTTAGGTTCTTTACAAACTTGAAAACAATGAAGATTTTACAGATCAGCATGTAAACCAGGATACCTGCACAATCTAACTTACAGCTAATCTGTAGGTTAAGAAAATTACTGCAGAGGGTTAAATTTACTGGAAGAAAAACAAAACATGAAATAGTTTTATTAAGGCAGTACAGTGATGTGATTGTGTAGTATGAATATTTTTTGTAAAATGACATTTAAATACTATAGTACTGCAGTGCTGAGGCACTTGCTGTGTTTTGTTTTGTTTTTGTGGGCGGAGTCTGTAATATAAAACAATATCATAATGTAAAGTCTTTAAAAGGAACAATATATTTGTATGCATTAAAGTGCACAAGTACATTGACTTTTGTACTGGATTGCCATCATGGTTGTAACTACCGAGGTCTGGACCTCAGTAGTTTCAGAAGCGTTTTTCTCTGTGTGTCCATCAAAGAGATATAATGTGGAATCAACATCATTCTGACAGTGTGGTAGCTACTCAGGGGCGTACAGCCATGGGACTCACAGGCCTATTCAATCAGAAGGGAATGGAATATTTACTGCATTTTCCAATAGAGTCTGGCTGCAGACATGCACTCTCAGCCCCAGTGATGTCACGTCCAACGGCACGTTAACTTTTGGCTTCTTCTTCGTAGCGATAAAAACAAGCATGCGCATAGCACACAGTCCTCAGAACTTTACGTAAGAAACCGTCTCTTTTCCCATAAATTCTGCAGTACATCTGCTTTCCACTAGCTGTCAGAAAATCCCATTTTCCCCGTAAACATGCATCTACCTTCTGTAGAGCGTGCTCACATCTATTTTCACTTTAATAGATATCAGTCTTTATGTAGAGAGCTGTGGAGTGTCATTTTTAAGCCTACACGTCCAGGGTTTGTCCTGCGTAGAGAATCATGAGGCGGCTGCCTCCGTCAAATTTCATGCTGCATTCCGCTCTCGACGTAACTCTGACGAGAAAACACTACTTTATCATAAATGCTGCACTTGGTGGATGTCTGTCATTTGTAACTGTAACTGTGGCCTTATGCTGAGTGGCAGTGCTCGTAATCAGCACAGTGCACTGGGAAAGGCACTGCACTGCCAAAGAGGAGGACAAGTGTAAAGCGTCTAGAGGTTCTTTCCCTACAGCAGTAATGTGGGGCGTTGCCCTGATACATTCACGTTCCTACATTAAAAGAGTATGTTTGATGAAAGGCAACAGACAACAACGCTACAAACTGCAGCGCAGAAAAAAATAACCAAATTGCACATAAACATGTTCCTATGCACATCCACGTAATAAAACTCGCCCTTTGCAGCCTCTGTGGAGTCCAGTCCAGTCCAGGAATCATATCATAATACTCAAAGGCATACATCATTTTAAAACAAGACGATGATTATCTACTCTCTCAGCCTGGGTTAGTTACAACTCTGGACTAATTTAAAATGGGAACCAATGGACTGACACTGACTACTGATTAAATACTGAAACACAGAAATACTGAAAATGTCGATTAGCTGGGTATATTAGGCAACATGGGTGCACGTCTCTCAGTAAATAACAATTATCAGGTATTCAACCAAGCTATAGTATAAATATTATTTTACATTCGAACATGTATAAAAGGAAATGTGAGGAAGCCTGTTTGAAAGGGCCTGCTACAGCTAATAAAATTCATAACAGTATTATTGCATTCATTGTTTAGGTGCTATGCCTAAGTATATCAGTAGAGGAGCAAATATTGATTGATTGATAAATAGTTTGTTTATACCTCATTCTGTTCTGCATAGGTCTGCTTGTTTTACACCAAATGATGGAGCAAACTCTCCTAAATCCTGTCCTAACTTTAGGATGAACCCCAACAGGGTCCTAACTTCTGTTTAAGGTCCGTTTCTATGGTTTTTAGGCAGCTCTGTCAGCAGCATAGTTCACTACCAGCATAATGAGCTCCATTTATTTCTACTGTAAAACGCTGCTTTCACTGTGAGATGATTTTCTTTTCTAACTCTGCGTTTTAAAGATCTCAGACGCTGCAGACTCGATCTCCACCGCCCCCTCTAAACCAGTCAGATGGTTTAAGACAAAAAATTAGGATGTTTTTGTAATACAGCCCCAGGACCAGCTCTGGTTTTCAGATATGGCTTATAAAACTGTATAGATGAAAACTATGGCTTTAATGCAATGTTCAACTACCCTGTTAGGACAACATTTTACTGGTTGTGACTTTCATCTTATATTTATGTTCACCTACACTGCCAGAGGGCCCCTGTAAACCGTAACTGAAAACAATAGCTATGTTATATTTGGTTTTAGACAACTTTACCGTTTGTTAGCTGTGTAAATAAATACATTACTTTTATGTTGTGTTTAACTGGATGTTGAACAGGGCACTTTCATTTTTAAATAAAATATAGTTTAATGTGATAACTGTCTTTTTATTCATTTATACAATACATTGCTTGTAAAAGTTGTTAGCTCGAGCTGTTGAGGGCGCAGTACACGTGCACATGTGTGCATATGACCCAGATACTACCACCTCATATTGAGCCAGAAAAACCCTGACGCCCTTCACAGATGTGGCCCGGGATTATATAGCATTACAGTAATTGGTCAAAGAGAAGGGTTTCTAATAAATCAACCTACCTGTAGGAGTAAGATTATATCCATTGTTGCTTGTTTGCTGGTTCTTTTTATCTGTTAAAGACACACAAAATTAATACACTAGCTTTCCATCATATGCATTATTTCTGTTATGACCAAAAGATTATTCTGAACATGAAATTAGGGCTGTCAAGATTACATGATTAAAATCAATTGGTCCATTAAAATAAATCCTTGACTAAAATTTAAATTCTTATTGAATCAGTATACCGATTAATTTGCAGTGTGAATGATAAATCTATTACCCGTGGGTCATTATAAAAGCCGTGTTCAGCAATCTGAACATTCTTATGCATGTATATTTTCAGTCACAAATGTCATGTATACACATCCAAGTCAAAGCTTTTACGTTAGAAATCACACATATATGAAACAAAAGGTTTGTTTAATTAGATTCAGGATGAACAGCTGGGTTACTACAGTTACAGTCTGTTAAGTTTTACTGGGTATAGTTAGGATTCACTGTAAAACATACAAAGTAAAGAACATCTTCGCTGTCCAATGAAAAACATTTATCTTCAAAAATAACAAAACTTACAAAAGAAGGCAGACATGTTCTTGACTTTTAATGTAAGTTAATGTAAAGAGATTTTATTCCAAGAGATTTTGGAGAATTTGTACTGATCTAGTCATGAAATTCTCACACAATGTAAATGAGAGCTGCTGTGTTCAAATAATGTAGAAAAATAAAAATGGATGTTTTTCTGTGGACAGTAATGATAATCCACAGTACCGATAATCCACTTAAAGGCTACAATCTTCATAAGATGGCCTAAGTAGTTTTAAACCCTGTGTGGAGAGTACATGTACACCACTGTTAGACTGGCACTAACAGAACACTGAAATATTGAAATTCCCACAGAAGCAGGTGCAGAAACTAGCATTATCACAGCACTAAGCGAAGGTTTCTGCATAAAATATGTCTGTGTAATGATGCACATGGCCTTAACAGGTTTATGATATGACTAACAGTAAAATGATTTTAAAATGATCATGTTCAACAGCTCCTTTTATGTTTTATCTCTTAGTGAAGTGTTTTGGAATTTCTGAAAGGAGGTCAGACACTGATGTTGGACGTGAAGGCCTGGCTCACAGTCTCCGCTCTAATTCATCCTAAAGGTGTTCTGTCAGGTTGAGGTCAGGACTCTGTGCAGGCCGGTCAAGTTCTTCCACACCAAACTCGCTCATCCATGTCTTTATGGACCTTGTTTTGTGCACTGGTGCGCAGTCATGTTGGAACAGGAAGGGGCCGTCCCCAAAGTTGGGAGCATGAAGTTGTCCAAAATCTCTTGGTGCTGAAGCATTAAGAGCTCCTTTCACTGGAACTAAGGGGCCGAGCCCAACTCCTGAAAAACACCCCCACACCATAATCCCCCCTCCACCAAACTTTACATTTACATTATTTGGCAGACGCTCTTATCCAGAACGACTTACAATTGGATCATTTTACACACGACTCCTAACACGAAGGTAGTGTTAGGAGTCTTGCCCAAGGACTCTCATTGGTATAGTGTAGGGTTTTTACCAAGGTGGGGTTTGAACCCCAGTCTACAGTGTAGAAGACAGAGGTGTTACCCACTACACTACACCAACCCTTGCCAACCCTTTACATTTGGCACAATGCAGTCAGACAAGTACCGTTCTCCTGGCAACCGCCAAAACCCAGACTCGTCCATAGGATCGCCAGACAGAGAAGCGTGATTGGTCACTCCAGAGAACACGTCTCCACTGCTCTAGAGTCCAGTGGCGGCGCTTTACACCACTGCATTCAACGCTTTGCATTGTGCTTGGTGATGTAAGGCTTGGATGCAGCTGCTCAGCCATGGAAACCCATTCCATGAAGCTCTCTACACTGTTCTTCAGCTAATCTGAAGGCCACATGAAATTTGGAGGTCTGTAGCGATTGACTCTGCAGAAAGGTGACGACCTCTGCGCACTATGCGCCTCAGCATCTGCTGACCCCACTCTGTCATTTTACGTGGCTGACCACTTCGTGGCTGAGTTGCTGTCGTTCCCAATCGCTTCCACTTTGTTATAACACCACTGACAGTTGACTGTGGAATATTTAGTAGTGAGGAAATTTCACAACTGGACTTGTTGCACAGGTGGCATCCTATCATGGAACCACGCTGGAGTTCACTGAGCTCCTGAGAGCCCCATTCTTTCACTAATGTCTGTAGAAGCAGTCTGCATGCCTGCATGCATGAATTCAATGATTTGGATTGGTTAGTGAATACTTTTGGAAATATAGTGTAAGATGCGTATAGTATCAGCTGCAATACTAACTACATAAACATTATTATGCATACTTTATATGTTGTCTATTGTAAAACATACCTTTTCTACCTTCAAACAGCTCACATAAAATAAAGTAAGAGCATTTGTAAATATGAAACTCCACTTACATCTCTTTATAAGGAAAACGACCACGCCTGCCAAAATTCCTGCAACCAGAAATCCAACAACGAAACCCACAATGATCCCTGTCGTACAGTCCTTGCAGCTTCCATCTTCAATGAGCAAGCCCATGCATCTACCATTCTGCTGCTGTTAAGCAAGGTTAGCGTTTATATAAAGTATGAAATGAGGCCATGTTACAGAAACTTCCTGTCTGTGGTCCTAAGTTAAGATCTGACAAGATCAAGGTTTTTCACAAATACACATTACAGAAACAAATCTTATGTGGATTTCGGAATTGTATCTTATCTTAAAGTACTTTATCTCAAGTTTTGGAAACCTAAACTACTCAGTCGAGGTCGATAAACAATTGTTATGTCTTATGTCTGCCAGCTATCACTGTTACTAAAAAAAAAAAGTGAGATAAACTAAAAGTCTAAAAAAGTTATGAATATTGTGACAGCGCCATTTCCATTTACCAAGGCTTCAGCTGCCACGCGAGCCATGCTAACGTTATTTCTCCTAATAAACAGCCACGCATTCTCTTTATTTTTCTCCACCGTCGCTGTACTATGTTTTTGTTTTCGTCCATATTAAAACATACAGGTAACGAGAAGGAACAAAGGAGAAGTACCTGCAGTGTCTGGGATGTTTTGAAAGTGCTATAGCATTATAAAAACATCAATCTCAGAAGTTGTGCTGAAGTTAGGACAACATTTAGGAAATTTTTAGGAAATTCTAGTTAAAACGGTTCTATAATATGAACTGTTATTCTGTGGAAGCTACTGGCTTAAATTCAGTCCTAATTTGTCAAAGTAACTAAACAGATAAGATTTCAGGAGTCAGGAAGTTTCTGTAATACCACCCCTGAACTGGAACAGGTAATAACAACCATGTAAAACAAAGATATAATTACCCCATTCTGCAATTACTGGTGTTTCGAGGGAGCTGTGAGTCACGTAACAGTCATAAGATGCTTTTTCATCCTCCTGGATCTCCACACTCTTCCTCAGCTGGTAGGTTCCATCATCATTGGGTCTGACTCCTGAAGATGTTAGTAGATGTTCAGGAAGTGAAGTGCGGAACTTCCTCAGACTCACCACCACGTCTTTGGGGTAGAAGCCCGTGGCCAGGCAGGTCAGGGTCAGCATCTTCGGGTCAGTTACAGATTTCTTCGCAAACACATGAACATCTGGTGGAGCTACAGAGAAAACAAAAGCAATGCACATTTTTTAAGTTCAACAGTTTTTTTAATCAAAAAATAATTTGGAATCAGTTCTCACTTGCTGCAGCTAACAATGTGAAAGTATGAGTGCCGACACCTGCTTCCTCTTGTAGCCAATCAAAATATCCTTTCCATCTACCACTCAGAGAACTGCTTAAAACACCTGCACGCATTTGGAAAAGTGCACCAACTGCTGAATTCTATCCAAGTGGTTTAAAAGGGAACAGTCAGGTTTAGCTGTTTTTTAAAATGATAGGGGCTGTGAAATGCGAGAGCCTTGATAAACCGCAGTGTTGAACATCCACAAATGTTTCTCAGTACATTTAACAGTCTTTTGTTAAAGTCCAGGTTATTGATAGTCAACCATTTTTCACCTTTTTACCACAGTCTTTCAGTGGCGTGTGACTATTTCTCCAGTAGACTGAGCAGAGACGTTTATTCGTTTCACAGAAAACTACAGCAGCAGTAAAATATTGACTTGTGAGTTGTGCGTTGCTGTGCAGGTTATTAGGGGCGTGTCCATGCCTATACAGAGCAAACCTATCCTTGACCTCAAACAGCGCAAAGGACCTCTGGGAGATGTAGGAATACTGCATTATAGGCTCTAGAATAAATCTGTTCAATTTTCAAAATATGCCTGCAAAATATTTTTTTCTAAAGGTTTGTTTAGAGGGCTGGATATTTGATCAACATGAGTTGGGAAAAAATTTATATTTTAACATTTAGTTATTCACATGAATGAGTTGACTAAGAATTGATTAATCACTTTAACCAAGGCCTAGAAATGCGAAGAGCTGTAACAATAAAGTATTTGGCAATGTTCTAACAAACTGAGGTTCTGTTTACAAGCAAACAAATTCCCCCACAGAAGAACATGTATTGCTTTGTTTAAGCCTGTCCATAATTTTGAGATACAGTAAACAATAAGCATAGATAAAAATAAGCGACATTCTAATAAATAAGTAGATTAGCTTTTAGCTCTTCAGGCTGCATTTTCATTTAATGCATTACCAGTTTAACATGCCAGTTTACTGGATGTACTATGTGTGAAAAGCATGTTTATAAAATGAGTTGTATTTTAAGCTGATGTAGCTGCCTGTAGTTGGCTAGCTAATGAATGTGATGCTGTAACAGGGCGAGTTGCTGAAAGCTGCAATATTTTTTTGGGTTACACTTTATTTAGATGGTCCACTGCAGACACTTTGTAGATGCTCAGTTTATCTTCAACTAACTTTCAACTAAATATCTATTCAATGCAACTGAAAGGTTCTATAAAATCTGACCCTAATCCTGAAACTAACTCTAACCTCAAGGCAAATCCTAAAGTTCCTAAATAAACTGTGACCTTTTTGAGATAAATGTTAAACACTTCTAATTAATAGAAACCAATATGGCTTACAACATTTGAGTGACTAACATTAACAGTATAATTTTCAGCCAATAATTGTTCTTTTTCTTTTTCTTTCTGCTCCGATAGGCATGGCGCTATACCTGCATTGCTGCGCTCTTTAGTTTAAGTCATTAACTCAGTCAGGGTTGGGTATCGTTTTGAAAATACAAATAAAATACTGACATGAGAAACATCCGCTGACTGTTTATTATTGTGACATTATTGATAACGTCGAATAAATGTTTTATCCCTAATCAAGACTATTTCACAAAGTGACTGGTCCCCTTTACAGGGTGCCATTAAGTGGTTAGCATAAGTCTCTGTCATCAAAGAGACAGGAATCTACTTTTCTGTGTTCCTGTGGACTCCACCACAAATAAGAGTGGCACTGTGGGGATTCATCACTGGGTAGTTCAACACACTACATGAAAGTTAACATTCAATTAGGTAATTAATTACCTAGTAATTAGCTCAAATAAAAAAAATAAAGGCTCAATAAAATGTTCGGGAACTCACAGTGTTTTCTCAGTGATTCTTTTCCGTACTCCATGAATTTGGTGAGCCAGTCCACACATTCTTTCTCCAGGTAACCCTTGGTGTACTGGTTCAGGATGGGCACCTCATCCCATTTCCTTTTGGTTGGCAAAGCTTCTGGAACTGGAGCGATCCACCGCATGTTGTCATCATCAAAAGAGAGGAACTCTGACCCATCGTAGCTGTACTCATCAATGCCTCTCAGAAATCGGTGACTTCCATCTGCTTCCTCGATCTCACAGCCATGTCTCCACTGAAGAACATGAAGGTCTGATAGAAAAACAATGAGAACAAACAAAACAAATACATTTGCTGGCACAACATATGAGGAACCACAGTGGATAGAAAAAACCTGACAGATCACTAACCGGTCTGACTGTGATTCATTCGGTCCATCAGGATGCCCACGTTGACCTTGAACCACTGCTCTTTGCTCTTGCGAGACTGGGTGCCTTTTTCCCAGTAATCTGGCTGCATCTTCTCCTTCATCCAGTCCTGCTTAGGAACCTTAGCCTGGTCCTTACTGTTGTAGTAGTCGATCTCCCGGTCATTGAGCAGACCCAGTGCTGTGAACTCATAGATCCCTGGTAGAGCGACATCTTTGGAGAGAGCGGAGTAAATGTAGTACAGAGAGTGTTGGTCTGGAGGAAGAAAAGAAGAGAAAAAGATCACAGCAACTCAAAATGGGCTTCACTGATAAAACCATTAACCATTTTTGACATTTTAAGAAACATGTTAATCAGAACCGATATGTATGTCTGTTTTGTCACCGATACTAATTTTAAGCACATAAAAATGATGATAGCCAATTTTATTGGCTGATATCTAAAGAGTCTTTAATGATTTTAGTCCTTAACTATTTTTATCAACTTTTTCATCAAATGAACAGCAGAAACTCACTAAATTTAACAAACTGATATTTTAGATTGTTTAACATTAATGACTGAGATCACAGTTATTTAACACAAGTACTCACTGACTCTGAAAACAACATGCATTTATCGAACTTTATAGAATTTCAAGTAATTAAACAAATTTGTCGTACTGCCAAATCTTGCACAGTATTTGCTGTTGTTCCTCGTCTGATTAATGAAATTAAAGTATTTCCAAACAACTGAACTGTTTTTACTGTTCTTGTAGGGGGTGCAACAATATGCAAATTTCATGACACGATATGTATTGCCGTGTTTGCATCACGATACAATACGCGTTCAATACAGAATTAAAAAAGCATGTTAACATAACTTTCTTATATATCTATTTGTTCATCCATTCATTTACTAATTGGTAATTCCATTTTTTCCCCCAAAAAGAGAACAGTGCTTGTTGAAGGGATCCAGGGGCGCAACTTAGAACTACATAAAGCGATCACATTTGTTTTTGACATTTTCGTCCGTAAAGCCTTTCTTCAACTTTTATGCTTTTGGTACTTCCAGTGCTGCTTGCTGTTGATTTCAGTTCAGTGAATGCTCCCGAAGACCTCATTTGTGAAGGGGAGTGTGTATTTGAGGGGGAACAGAACTGGATGCAACACCGGTATACTGTCAGTGTTCAGTCCTTCACTCATCGCCCATCATAACTGTACTGGTCCAAAGAGGAAATGAGTGTAAATTCACGTTGTTTCTTCCAGCTAAAGCTCGTTTTCTCAGCTTGCCATTTCAAACATCTTAGCTAATCAACAATTCAAACTAGAAAACTAAAGTTAGCTTTTTATTCAAATTCAACTGCTGCACCACTTAAGGTGGAGCGGACCATATGGGTCTGTTTCGTTCAAGGTAAGCTAACCAAACCAAACCAGTTTTATCAAATCAAAGATTTATAAGTTCTAGAAATATCATATGTTGTGTTAAATAAAATTATATAAACACATGGCATGCATCATGTATTGCTCAAAAAATGGGAGCATCACTGCAAAATGGAATGCAATAAATAATAATTTTATCTTGATTATCCTGTTTCATAATCTTTGGAAGCAAAAATCATAACTGAAAACAAAATGTAATGAAACGCCCAGCCCTAACAGACACTGTAATAGCACTTAACAAATCAAAAGAACATTCTGTAGCAGACAGGGGAGTCCATTAAGAACCATCAGTAAAGGCTCTGTGTTTGTTCTTGGCACTACTTAGCACCCAAAAGTAAGTACTGTTTTTGCTCAAAAGAGCATCACATTCCTACATGTAGTTTTCTTTTAACATTTAAAGGGAATAGTTGGTGCTTAATCAAGACAATTTTTTTTTTGATACCAATAAATCTGTAAAACCTTAACCTTAGCAAATATTATCGAACAACCGATATATCAGTCCTAGTGCTAATGTAATGAGCATATATTTATATATGCATTTCTGCAATTATGTAAAAAAATATATATATAATATTTAATTAACTGAAAGAAAACTTTTAGAATTAAAAGTAATGAAATTTAATTTAAAAATGAATTAAATGGCTGTATGTATAAAGCTTCATATCTGCTAACATAAACACTTAAAAAAGATGTTTTAACAATGTATTAAATTGTAGTTACATATGAAATATCAAACAAGTTCAAGAGAACTGCTCAACAACAAGCACTTCCTTTCTCACTGTATTTTTAAGGCTGTTACTGAACACCGAAAAAGTACTCTATATTAGGCCTTGGTTTAATGTTGTGTAATGTACTGTTACACACAAAAAATAACAAGAACTTTTCTTGGGCTGCACAACTTTCCTTTTTGTTTGGCTACACACACATACAGTACATAAAGAATACTCAGCTGTATACTGTCACCAAAAAACCTAAAGACAACAGAAATATGAAATTTCAGACATCTGTAATGTAAGCAAGTAAACCGAAAGCAAAGTTGACGAGGCTGTAAGGACTTCCGTGTTCTCAAATGGCTTCTGTGGTGCCTGACAAACTGTGCTCCTTTGTCAAAATGTCCTCCCGAGCACTTTGGGGCTCTACATAGTGCTATACATAACACAGTAGCTAGGATATTATGATAGCCTAAACCACCTTATTAGAAAATGTTACCAGCATTAAAAAATATTTAGAATATTTTAATAGCCCTAATCACCTTATCAGAAAATGTTACCAGCATAAAAAATTAATTAGAATATTTTAATAGCCTAAATCACCTTATTAGAAAATGTTACCAGCATTAAAAAAAATAATTAGAATATTCTAATAGCCTAAATCACCTGACCAGGAAATGTTACCATCATTAAAAAAATATATATTTTAATAGCCTAAATCATCTTATTAGAAAATGTTACCATCATTAAAAGAATAATCATGATATTCTGATAGCCCAAACCACCTTATCAGAAACACATTACACACCAAAAATAACAAGAACTTTTCTTGGGCTGCACAACTTTTTGTTTGGCTACACACACATACAGTACATAAAGAATGCACAGCTGTATACTGTTACCAAAAAACCTAAAGACAACAGAAATATGAAATTTCAGACATCTGTACTGTAAGCAAGTAAACCGAAAGCAAGTTGACGAGGCTGTAGGACTTCCGTGTTCTCAAATGGCTTCTGTGTGCCTGACAAACTGTGCTCCTTTGTCAAAATGTCCTCCCGAGCACTTTGGGGCTCTACATAGTGCTATACATAACACAGTAGCTAGGATATTATGATAGCCTAAACCACCTTATTAGAAAATGTTACCAGCATTAAAAAATATTTAGAATATTTTAATAGCCTAATCACCTTATCAGAAATGTTACCAGCATAAAAAATTAATTAGAATATTTTAATAGCCTAAATCACCTTATTAGAAATGTTACCAGCATTAAAAAAATAATTAGAATATTCTAATAGCCTAAATCACCTGACCAGGAAATGTTACCATCATTAAAAAAATATATATTTTAATAGCCTAAATCATCTTATTAGAAATGTTACCATCATTAAAAGAATAATCATGATATTCTGATAGCCCAAACCACCTTATCAGAAACACATTACACACCAAAAATAACAAGAACTTTTCTTGGGCTGCACAACTTTTTGTTTGGCTACACACACATACAGTACATAAAGAATGCACAGCTGTATACTGTTACCAAAAAACCTAAAGACAACAGAAATATGAAATTTCAGACATCTGTAATGTAAGCAAGTAAACCGAAAGCAAAGTTGACGAGGCTGTAAGGACTTCCGTGTTCTCAAATGGCTTCTGTGGTGCCTGACAAACTGTGCTCCTTTGTCTAAATGTTCTACCGTAGCGCATGTTTTCACGCAGAGCTCTACATAACACTGTAGATGGGATGTTTTGATAGCCTAAACCACTTTATCAGAAAATGTTACCATCACTAAAAACAATAATTATGATATTTCATAGTCTAAACACTTTATCAGAAAATGTTACCATCACTAAAAACAATAATTATGATATTTTCATAGTCTAAACCACTTTATCAGAAATGTTACCATCACTAAAAAATAATTATGATATTTTCATAGTCTAAACCACTTTATCAGAAAATGTTACCATCACTAAAAAAAATAATTATGATATTTTCATAGTCTAAACCACTTTATCAGAAAATGTTACCATCACTAAAAACAATAATTATGATATTTTCATAGTCTAAACCACTTATCAGAAAATGTTACCATCACTAAAACAATAATTATGATATTTTCATAGTCTAAACCACTTTATCAGAAAATGTTACCATTATTAAAAACAATAATTATGATATTTTCATAGTCTAAACCACTTTATCAGAAAATGTTACCATCACTAAAAAAAATAATTATGATATTTTCATAGTCTCTAACCACTTTATCAGAAAATGTTACCATCACTAAAAACAAAATTATGATATTTTTATAGGCTAACCACTTTATCAGAAAATGTCCATTATTAAAAACAATAATTATGATATTTTCATAGTCTAAACCACTTTATCAGAAAATGTTACCATCACTAAAAACAATAATTATGATATTTTTATAGGCTAAACCACTTTATCAGAAAATGTTACCATTATTAAAAACAATAATTATGATATTTCATAGTCTAAACCACTTTATCAGAAATGTTACCATCACTAAAAACAATAATTATGATATTTTATAAGCTAACCACTTTCTCAGAAAATGTTTCCATTATAAAAAAATAATTATGATATTTCATAGTCTAAACCACTTATCAGAAAATGTTACCATCACATCAAAAACAATAATTATGATATTTTATAGGGCTAAACCACTTTAGCAGAAAATGTTACCATTATTAAAAAAATAATTATGATATGTTCATAGTCTAAACCACTTTATCAGAAAATGTTACCAGCATTAAAAAAATAATTATATTTTCATAGTCTAAACCACTTTATCAGAAAATGTTACCATCACTAAAAACAATAATTATGATATTTTCATAGTCTAAACCACTTTATCAGAAAATGTTACCATCACTGAAAAAACCAATGATATTTTGATAGCCTCATACTTATCAGAAACTTTACCATCAATAA